ATTTCTAAACCAAGTAGTTTTGAATGGAATTTTTTTTTCAAAATATTTGAAGACGTTTGATATATTCTGTTTATGATAAATTTGCTTATTGCTAAAATATGTTTTTAGGGATTTTGCAATAAAAAAATCGTATTTTCTTGTATGACAGTAAAATAAATAAACAAATGGCTAGGCGTAACCTAGTTATAAGCGTGCGTGCTATTTTTTGGAAGGTCCAATGTTCACGACGCTTCTAAGTCATAGAGTTATATAACATTTATTTCCATGTTCTGAATACGCTCCAATTTTGCTTTATAAGAGTGAGAGTAAATTTCGTTATTCAGCTCAAAGTCGGTTAAATACGTTGTGGCACCTGGTTCTGCTGACTGACTGTCTTTCTTCTGGCCAGTAGCTCAAAATCAAGAACGATTAGGCTTGAAATTTAGGATTCTCTGACCTGGTATATTGATTTTTTGGCTGTGGGGATATCAAAATCACTCTTTGTCATAGGGATATAAAAATCGCTATTTATCGTGGGGATATCAAAATCACTGTTTACTGTGGATATATAAAAATCACTGTTTACTATGGATATATAAAAATCACTGTTTATCGTGGGGATATCAAAATCACTATTTATCGTGGGATCTCAAAATCACTATTTATCATGGAGATATAAAAATCACTGTTTACTGTGGATATATCAAAATCACTGTTTATCGTGGGGATATCAAAATCACTGTTTATCGTGGAGATATCAAAATCACTGTTTACTGTGGATATATAAAAATCTCTGTTTATCGTGGAGCTTCTGCTACGTTCACGACTTTGACAAATGCTATGATCCATCATACGACCACGTTGAATATTCGACATTTTCGTTCAGCTGTTTATGACGACATCTCGAGGAGCCTTACGATGGCTTAACGGATAGCATGAGGGTTTATAACGCTAAAAATCGCCGTTTGATACCTGCGATGAGCACAATTCAGATAGCCTACCGTGTAAATTTGCGCTTCGAAACAAACAATCAAACAGCACAATACTGCAGACCATCGCTGAGAAGTATGATGAGCAGACTGAGCACAAAGTTTTTTTCTGATGACAGATTCGCGTTCCTTATGGTATCATTGGTACAATGCCAAGAATTATTTTTTCATGAAGAATCGTATCCATTTTACTGATGTTTACTTTGTGTCTAATAAAACTAACACCAAATATTGTGATAAAGTAACTCTAAACCCAAAATACTGCTCTAAAACTAGCAGGATCTCAAAAGTGGCCATGGAAATGAATAACTTTATAATACTTGTTTTATTGATTATTTGAATGAAATCTGTATAATCGATCTGTCTTACATGATGGTTTAAGGTGGGAGAAAATATCGTTTATAATTTATCAGAAATTGGAGTGACCCCAAAATGTAATTCATTTTTGTCGCCCTTATAGATAAAAGTAGCCAAACTTTATTTTGTTACGAGTAAGCGAGTATAGTTACCAAAGATAGATAAAATAACAGTACAATTTTTTGTTCTGCTTCTTCTTGAAAACTTTAACTTTATAGACATGATGAAAATATCATCCTCAAAATATGCTTTATTTCTTTTTCATTCTTACGACTACGGTCAAATGTTTTTTAAGCAAAGCATCTAAAAAATTATATAGTTTTTTTTATGGGTTTAAGTTACATATCTTGTGACGGAGTAGTTCGACATGACAAGTCTCTTTGTTAAAGCTTAATACGACTTAGATAAATAATAGATAGTTCTATGAGCCAGCTTCTTGATATCCCCCAGTGATTCAGCTGTAAATTTACGGTCTTACAACACTACAATCCGAAGGTCGATTCCCTGCGGTGGACAGAGCGCAAATAGCTTGTTGTGTAGTTTTGCGCTAAAGAAAACAAACATCAGCTTTTTGATATATAATATAGCATTAAGGAAGTTATCTTGATGAAGTGTGTCCATTAAGTGTGTCTAATTACACTGCCTTACATTTGCTAAACAGAAGAGAACCAACTTTAATGTTTTCGTATTATATATCATAAGTAAATGGCAAAATGTAAAGCATTAGCGACATAAAATGGGTTCGTGTGTGGGTCGCAACTGTCTTTATGTGGCAAATAATTAAGCAGCATGTGCAGTAAAAGTGACACAAATTATCTCATTCTAGAAAGCATTAAGATATATTAACACTGCCAAGAATATATGTCGGGTTTTATGAAATATCTAGTATTTAGACGAAATACACGATATTCAAAACAATAGGAGGGCGGATTTCTTACAAACCACATATTCATTCGTTGGATAATGATAATAAAATTATTGAAAAAAAACTACCTTAAGTTAAGTTAAATGTATTGACTCTTGATTAAAAGGCCTCAAAAATTTAACTTATTGAATGTTTAAATGTTTTCTGTATGGATCACTTTAAATTATCAATGGTACTTAAAAGTTTGGATGATTTTTTATAGTTACAGTAAAGTAATACAGAAAAATAGTAAAAAATACTCATGTATTTCTTTTTTAAGCCTATTTTTTAAATATATAATTCATCGACTTGAAATGTTAAAATACGGTATATTAACTACGAAAAGTGAAATGCAACATTTCCCACCATTCTTGTATTATCATATTACTGATATGGCAGTTTTACTTTTTTAATAAATGAATTTATGTATTGCTTTGTGTTTGACCAATTTTTGTGTTGTAGCTCCGTACACATCGTTTACACGTGGAATCAAAACGTTGTTTTGCAACAAAAGCTGGAGTTTTGTTTTGTTAGTTAGAATTTTTTTTTTAAACATCTGCCCGTATATTTGGATAAATTATTGTTTGATTATGATACATATTCAAACTTGTTTATATTTTTAAGTGAGAAAAAGCACACAAGGTTACTATACATGGTAATAAAAACATTCAGGTAATAAACTTCGTTTTTGATTTATAAAATTTTAAATCACGACCAATCAGTTTGGAATGTCTAGACTCAGGGGTGAAATTCTCGAACAAAGAAGTAGAGGTATTCTGTTGGATGAAGTGGATGTCTAGACTCAGGGGTGAAATTCTCGAACAAAGAAGTAGAGGTACTCTGTTGGATGGAGTGAATGTCTAGACTCAGGGGTGAAATTCTCGAACAAAGAAGTAGAGGTACTCTGTTGGATGGAGTGAATGTCTAGACTCAGGGGTGAAATTCTCGAACAAAGAAGTAGAGGTACTCTGTTGGATGAAGTGGATGTCTAGACTCAGGGGTGAAATTCTCGAACAAAGAAGTAGAGGTATTCTGTTGGATGAAGTGGATGTCTAGACTCAGGGGTGAAATTCTCGAACAAAGAAGTAGAGGTATTCTGTTGGATGAAGTGGATGTCTAGACTCAGGGGTGAAATTCTCGAACAAAGAAGTAGAGGTATTCTGTTGGATGAAGTGGAATGTCTAGACTCAGGGGTGAAATTCTCGAACAAAGAAGTAGAGGTATTCTGTTGGATGAAGTGGGCCTGTTTTTGCAAAATAAAATATATGTACGTGTAAACTTAAAAAATTACAAATAAGCTCAAATAAGTCCCGGTACTAGTACGCTTACAAAATAAGTTCCGGTACTCAGTGCAGGTGAGTACCGGCAGAATTTCACCCCCATCTAGACTACATATTATGATAAATTCGCCTAATATGCTAAGAGTCGAGAATGTCTTAGCAACAGAGCGTCTCAACTCTAAAAGACAATACTGATAGATTTTAGTAGTAAACTGTATTACAGAGTCTCTGGTTTTGTATAAGATAATTATGTTTTATTTGTTTTTTAAATCAAAGTCAAAGTCCAACTTGTTACTTATATTACGATGAAGTACAGTGAGGAATAGCGACATGCATCTTTCGAGATATGTATACCTTAACCTTGTAATTACATGAGATATCATAGAATTGCTTGCATAAAATTTTTATCTAAAGTTACGGATTTGAACGCTTATTGTAAATTAATAGACCAAATATTTGGGATGAGACATCTATCGTGACTTTTATCATATATATATATTAAAGCTTCATTTGCTTGAATAACAGACTTAAGAGTTTCTTTGGCTTCACTATGATTTCGATTTACACTTCAGCCATTGATATATTAAGGTACCTTACAACACGATTCAGTCTTCATTCGAATTAGTAATACGCTCTTGTTTATAACTTCCTGTAAATTATATAACTATGACACACACAGATCAGAGTGACACTTGCTTGTCTAGTGTATACTTAATCGTATACTAGTATACTAACACGCTGAAGTTCATTTAAGTTAACTATCACTATTGAATAAGTAACACTGGAAGACATGTTTCTAAGAATACACGTTAGTATGATAGTATACGATGTTATAATATTCATTCATTAATCACTTGCCTATTTTTGTTCTAAGGATTTAGCTGTTTACTGTAGCATCCAATACGAATTGTGCAAACAAGAGACCAATCAGTTTAAAATCATTCAAATGGTGACATTTATTGTCATCCTTGAGTTAGGTGGAAGGCACGGATGCTCTTCCTACGTAAAGTAAACATGTTTGGTCCATAATGATATCTTTGAAACACACAGAAGCTACTCTGGGAATTTTATTTATTTTATTTTATTCTTCTCTGAAAGTGAAAGTTATTTACGTATCCTTTTAATATCATTTTCAAAATTTTATTTAATAGTAGGCATTAAAAAACCCAGTCATGAATGAAAAGGTCTTCATATTTCCAAAAAGCATTATTTTCTATTAAAACATATAGATTCCGAAGAAACACTCTCTCAAATTATTCTTTATTCGTATATGTGAGAGGTTGTTATATCCATAGAAACACAACCACTCATAATGGTGTGAAAACAAAGTGACTGTAATTTCATTGGCTCATTTTCGTGTGTGCCACATAACTTCAATTAAATGCAAATCACTAATTGGCTAACAAGAGAGATACCCTGCAACACACTGCTTACAATAAATAGCTGTTTAGCTCACTTTGCTCATCAGATTCAACTTGTTGAATAGAAAAGTCCAGTAGCTGCAGCTGAATAAGAAGAATACTGAAAACAATTCTTCTGCAGAAATAACTTAAAAGCTTACTGGGCTAATAAATCAGTTTGTTTTCAGGCTTAAGAGTTAATTTATTGGAAACGTATATATATATAGAATAACTTATAAAATGACGGAAGGCAGACAGAAGCTTTGGGTAAGACTGGCCTTAATATATATCATCGTATGTGAAGTTGGAGGTAAGATTTTCTCACATACACAGCTGTTTAAAATATATATATATGATACAAAATATATGCTCACAATAGATTTAAAAACATGGTTCATTTTGACAAATACTGTTTTAACTTATTACTTTCTCGGCAATATCAACGTACTTTGGTTTTATCAGCGTCATGAACATGCGTTATTTTGTGCCTATCTATGGTACAGTTAACAGTTAATCAATTAAACTGAGGGCTAATCTATCAGGTTAAAAAGAGGATTTGTAAAGTGGTAAAAATCTTTTCATGCTTGTTTTATATTACTTTTATTTTGTTGTTATAAAATAAAAACCGATTTGTTTAAGGTCTCATGTATAAAAAAGTTAGTTTTTGTTCATCACAAAGATACACAATGGACTACCTGCGCTGTGACAATTGCAGGGATCGATCCCCGAATTTTAGTACCATAAGGTCTCATGTATAAAAAAGTTAGTTTTTGTTCATCACAAAGATACACAATGGACTACCAGCGCTGTGCCAATCGCAGGTATCGATCCCCGAATTTTAGTACCATAGGGTCTCAAGCTTACCTCTGGACCACCTGGAGGCATTTAAAAAAGAAATAAGTCAGGGAAATAAGAATGATTCTTCACTAACAGAGTATTAGTGAAAGTAGCTGTTTCATTTAAACATATATCACAAACTTGTCTTTTACACGCACTATAGTTTTGACGAACAAACTGCAGTACTTTGTGTTTATATGTTTTATTTACGTTATGTAAACGATGACTGATTTAAATTGTTTTTCTCGTGTGAAAAGTCACAGTTTTATTTTTGTTCAAAACAACTTCTATAAAACAATTAAAAACACAATTTAATTTTTTCCCACTGACCTTTAGTGTTGGTAGAATACAGTTTTTTTCAGTTATTCTTTTTTTCCGTCCCCTAGTGGATCAGAGTTTGGTTCGATTCTCCGTGGTGGACAGAGTAGGGGAAGTCTTCTATTGTGTAGTTTTCTCTAAAACAAACGAATAAACAAATTCTTGTTCCACGAATATCAAAGTTTGATATGTTATAGATTAAATATCTACTTATCCTAAATTGTTATGTTAAACAGATTCAACATGTCATATATTCATATTCATTCTTTCGTTAAACCATTACGATAAAGATGACATAGGTCGCCTGTATTTTTTTATTGAAATGTGCTTAACAGAGGTTTCCCACTTAATTTTTTCAATGGGAGAAAAAGAAGACTGGTTGTTTAATTCAGTTTTCAGATTAATCAATGGTGCGTAACGTCCATTGACATTCTGATCTTTCGTTACACAGAGTTTATATCATTCTCTGTATTCCTGACACGTAGAGTCTGCGTCTTTTCACTCTCTAGTTTTGTAACACGAAGAGCTCATTCATCCTGTATACTTCTAACACATAAAGTCTGCTCACCCCTGCACTCCCGACGCACAGAGTCTGCGTCTTTTCACTCTCTAGTTTTGTAACACGAAGAGCTCATTCATCCTGTATACTTCTAACACATAAAGTCTGCTCACCCCCTGCACTCCCGACGCACAGAGTCTGTCTATTTATTTCCTGTACTCCCGACGAAGTCGTTTACTCTCTGCACTCCCGATACGCAAATCTGTCCATTCTTCACAATCCAAACAAGTAAGTTTTAATTACTCTCCACTCCTTGAGAGCACTTTCTTCACTCTTGATACAAAAGGTTAGTCATCCTAAACAATTCCAACTGGTAATCCGTTAACATCTGTACTCCCATTCTCCACACACCTGATACAAAGGCTACTCGCTCTCAACACTCATCACACACGAGTATTGTTTTCCCTTTCTACAATCCCACAGAAATAGTCCAATCAGCCCCATTACCGACATTCAGTGTTCATATCCTATCCATACGTCCAACGTTACCATTCTTCGATACTAGATTAAGAAATCACAGTCGATAGTATTATATCGAAATTTCCAATCTACATTGGCGCTGATGTAGCTGCGAACTTTGATTTGTATTATCAGGAGTTTTACATTTGTACAAATCCATAGGCGACTCTCACAAGAATGATTCAGAACATAGAACTTAACTTTTACTTAAACGTTTCAGTCTTAATTGGGCTTAAAGACAAACCTAAGGGATCCTCGTAGAAAAACAAACCAATTCATGTCATAAAAATGTAGACTACAAGTTAAAATAAATCGTACATTATTGGATTATGTTTTAATTTTCGTATTATTAATATTCTTATAAATTTAAAGCTATTTGACCCATCGTGTTTATAAAATTGAAGAACACCTTCGGCAGAATCAAATAGAATATTTTGTTACAGCCGGTATTTTTCACGATCTTTGTCAGTTTAGGATACTAGATAAGTGAGTGTTTTGTTCGATTTGCTAAAATATTTTTCAGACTAACTTGGAGTTAAATAAGCATATACTCCGCAAAAGAACGAGATGTACAATCACTTTCATGGAAACCTGAGGGAAATTATTGTTATAAAAACAATCTGTTTATCTTTTTATTTTCTGAATTATTTTAATTATTAATGTCCCTTACTTGCAATGACTAGTGTGTTAACTTTCTAACTCAGTTGGTAAAACGTTCGTTTGTAGTGCGATCGGTCCATGAATCTATCCTGCTCTAAGAAAGCGCAAAAAAGTAACATTAACACAGGTGGACATTGTTTATGAGAGGGAAAAAAACGTGACTGGTTTTCTACACAAATAGCTAAGTTACGTTACTTCAATAACCGCTAACATACACGATGCTACTAACAATACACAGGCCTGCGAATTTAAACTTCATAAAAGTTGTTTTTGGTTTTAAAAACGGATTTTCCATATTTCAGCTACACAGATTTCGAAAATAATATTATTTTTTTTCTATCATGTAAGGATTTTTTACAAATCGGAGAAAAAACTCTTACTTAGATTACAAGCGTAACAGAATATATTTGGGTAATTTACACAATCTCTTGTTGCCATAGCGACGAATAAATAATATTGAAAAGATTTGGTTTGAATTTCGCGCAAAGCTACTCGAGGGCTATCTGCGCTAGCTGTCTCTAACTTAGCAGTGAAAGACTAGAGGGAAGTCAGCTAGTCATCACCACCCATCGCCAACTCTTGGGATACTCTTTTACCAACGAATAGTGGGATTGACCATCACATTATAACGCCCACACAGCTGAAAGAGCGAGCATGTTTGGTGTGACGGAGATTCGAACCCGCGACCCTCAAAGTGCGAGTCAAGCGCCCTAACCACTTGGCCATGCGGGGCCTGTTGAAAAGAAAAAATAATGTCAAAGTGCACGCACAAACAAATACTATCCAGAAATGGTACGTCATGCGGCCTCTTAACCGTTTATATACTAGCGATGTGTTTCTTGTGGGTTCTAGAACAATCGATAAGACTTTCACATCGCGATTGGTCAAGAAAAATCTATAGCCAGTAGTTAGCAACATTTCAAGCATAACAAAATGTGACCTAATTTCAGAAAAAATGATTCACTGATGTTAAAGCACATATGACGTGATGGAGAAAAATGGATATCATTTTCGGTTTCAGCGTACAGAATTACTATAGAACATGTAAAAATTTCAAGACAATAAAACCATCGCAAGCTTGTGTTATCAACAAATGTGGTAGATACGTTAATCTTGTAATAAACGAAAGGAGACTTATGCAATTCGTTTTAGTGAAGCGTAAGAATTTGCCGTTACTAAGAGAATGTGTTTGACACTTGTTTGGAAAGGTTAAGTATATCGAAACCAACTGGGTGCTATTATTTCTGATTATGAGATTGTAAATGTCTGAACATATCACCAGTTACAAAAGTTGCGCACGAAAAGTGTGTTGTAAACCACATTATGCTATTATTTATTACTTTTATTGAATATCTTCATTACTCGTCTTGACATGAGTGAACTTTAAAAAATGTTTTGTTTTTATACGCATTTACGAAGTTATTTATCCCCAAAACTTGAAATATATATGTCGCCATTAGTTAACATTCCATTACAAAATACGTTTGATAATGTAAACACGTTAGTGAACTTGCTTTTATAACAAAATAATCGAAGCTAAAAACTTGTCGTGGTGTTATTATTATTATTATGTTTGTAGAAAGCCAATTTTCAGACGTTAGAAGTAAAATATGTATGAAAGGAAATTGGAAAAGAAGTATATCATGTTTCCTTGTGTAATTTGATGATGATTTTCTATCAATGGATATTTTACATCACTTTGACTTCTTTACTCATAGTTTTTTCCCGGTGAGTCAGCGGTAAGTTTTCGGTCTTAAAACGCTAAAATCCAAGGTTTAATTCCCCGCGGTGGAAAGAGCGTAGCTGTGCCAAAACAAATATTTTTTACTTATGATTCAAAAGTTACGCATGCAACCTATTTTTTACCGAACTGCAAAAAATATTCAGTCAGAAAGAGAAGAAATATTTGTGAAAGGATTGTGAGAAACTTAGCCAAGTTTGAATTAAACTTTTATTTCAATATTATATGCTCAGTCTCTTAAAAAGCATTTAAATAAGACCTGAAGGCTTTAAATATAACTGTCAACTAATTGTTGAAAAAAGAGAAATCTCTAAAAATAGTTAGGTCAAGAAATCGTAGAAATTAACGTTTCGTGGTGAAAAATAGACATCAAATTATGTTACTGAAAACAACAAAAATCAAGTAAAAAACACACACATGAAACAACCATTCGCGTTTAATCCATTTACTAAAATAGCTACTTTAGCCTTTTCAACCGGAAGCTAACTACAACGAATTTGTTTCGGGGGTGGAGGTGGAATTATATTCACTAAATATTTTGTCCAGTTAATAACCTTATGTTTAATAGAACTTTGTGGTATTAATAGATTCAACTGACTGTATCATAACAGATTTCGGAAAGACCACGGTGACTGTTTGATTTCCATAGTAAAATATATGTTTATCTCGACTCTGAGAATAATTTTGTCGATGAATGGTTTCTAATCTTCATGATTAATCAATACGATTAATAAAC